CTTCCTGGAGATGGCATGCTGGCGGGATTATCACTGCTGATGTGATTTGTAAGGGCCACAAGAGGGACAGCGGTTATAGTGAGCCCTGAAAATTAATTAGAGAGGGCAGCATCTTCACAGGGCAAGTGACTGAGACCTCACTCTTCAGAAGCTCTGTAAGCTCCCACACCGTGGGAAAGCGGGCTCCTCTGCCTTCTGTTTCCTGGGCTGGCCCACGCACCAAAAATGATATGCCACAAATATGAGTCTGGGGTGCCTGTGCGTGCCTGCGTGCCTGTCTGCAAGCTCGTGTGAGCATGTTCATGTGGTGTGTACTTGTGTATGCGTGTGCGCGCACGCGTGTGTGTGTGTGTGTGTGTGTGTGTGTGTGTGTGTGTGTGATCTCCAGACACGGCTGTTGTCCAGGAAGCTCTCCAGCCCTTCTGCCCTCCCAGTCTCCAGTGGAGTGAGAACTCAGGGACGGGAAGGAGGAGAGGGTCCTGGGAGGCCCGTGAAGCAGAGGAGGAGAAGCAAGAGGCCGTCAGGGTTAGAAGGAGATGGAGACCAAGGCAGGAGGAAGGAGGGTTGAGAGGGGTGGGAAGAAAGAGACAACGAACAAAAACAGCAGGGTGGAAAAAAAAATAGTCAAGGAGGAGGAAGTGGGGAGACAGGGAAATGGAGAAGGAAAGAAAGGAAGGAAGATGGGAGAGGCTGAGGGGGGGAGGAAGACGGGGTGACAACCGGGAGATCGAGGTAGATGGTGGGTGGGAGGAGAGGGACGAGGCCTGCAGGGAGGCTAATAGAGAGGCTGTGGGCGCCAGGGGCTCCCTGGGGAGATGCCTGCCAGTCACCTGTGTTGCCCGGACGTGCCCCTCACACCCCCACCCTCCATTTGCCAGCAGATCACTGGAGCAGAAGGCGGGGTCTCCATCTGTCCCTCCTCATTCCCAGCAGAAGCACCCAGAGAGCTGCATCTGCCATAAAGGGCTGAAGAAGAGGGCGCCGCCTTTGGGGCGCACAGGCCTACGGGATGGGAGTGAGCAGACTGTGGGGCAGTGGAGTGAGTCTCTGAGCAGGGGCAGGGGGCTGACGAGGGCCCAGGGGAGCCTGCTGGGGCGGCTGACCCAGCCTTCTAGGCTCCAGGGACAACCCGGCTCCCTGACCATGTGGTAGAGTGAAGAGGCCAGGAGCAGAGGGCTTGGCTGAGTGTCCACATCATGGGCTGGCTCTAGGCTGTCCGGAACAGCAGAACAGGGCTGGCAGAGATGGGACCCTCGAACTCCCTTGGGCCCGCCTGACTGAGACCCCCGGAGAGCCATGTCCTGCTTCTTGGGGGAGGCTGGGGGCCTCAGCCATCCTCCGAAGCTCCTTGGGGAAAGGAATTCCTGGGTATTTCCTGGGGGCTGTTTTGTGTCGTTTGTTTTGTCCTTGTGTCTAGACTAGGGTCTACTCAGGCTGCCAAAACAAAAACACCATAGACCGGTGCCTAAGCAGCAGACATTTACACTCTCTCAGTTCTGGAGGCTGGAGGGCCAAGGTCAGGATGTGCGCGTGGCTGGGGCTGATGAGGACTCCCTTCCTGGCTTGCAGATGGCCGCCTTCTTGCTGTGTCCTCACATGGTGCAGAGAGAGGGAGAGAATATTCCTCTTCTTAGAAGCCTCCAATCCAATTGGATTAGGACCCTGCCCCATGGCTTCATTTAACCTTAATTACCTTCTAAAGCTCTATCTCCAAATACAGCCACACTGAGGCTTTGAACTTCAACCTGTGGATTTGGCAGGACACAATTCCATCCATAGCACCTGGAAATCACTTCAGAAGAAAAGGTGGGGGAGGTTTTCCTGGATCCTGCCTGTGCTCCCTGGAGACTGGAGACAAGGGACCTGGGGCGAGCCGGGCTGGGCCGCTGGGTGACCCCCAGGCACCCCCTGTCTCTCTCTAGACCTTTCCCTCCATTTATCAATGGCAGAGAGCCATTGACCCTATCTCCAGAAGATGTTGGGAGAGCTGATTAAGGTTATTTTTAAGTATGGAAAGCGGTCTTTGGAGACAGCCTAGTGTAAATAGGCTGGTTTTATTACTCATAATAAACATTTATTAAGCACCTACCGAGTTGCAGGCAGGCACTGCACAGAATGCCAAGAGACCCCAGCCCAGCCCCCGCCAAACTTCCCGCCAGCCCCTGCCTCGCTTCCCTCCTTCCCTCCCTCCCATGGCTGTTGACAAGCAGAGAGAACCTGGCCCAAGCAGGCAGGCAGCCCCAGCCCCAAGAACACCACATCCCCAGGGTTTTGCAGACTGCCTCAGAACCGACGTGACACCCAGACGTCCGCCTGGCTGGGCCACAGAGCCCTCCATGGGCACCCGGAGACCTAGGTCCCTCTGGGCTGTGTCATGCTTAGAAGGCTGTCTCAGCCTCAGTCCCTGCACATCAGGAGGGAAGGCAGTGAGATGCCCAGTCTTGCCCTTCTGTGCCCGGTGGGCTCCGTCCCAGGGGGAGGGCAGTGAGACCAGTCCAAGCCCCAGATTGATACTAGGAGCATTTCACACGCTGCTGTTCATCCGACAGATTCCCCAGTGCCCCCTCTGTGCCCACACAGATGGTTTTCATGGACCTTACCTGCTCACAGGAGGGAGTTCAAACAAGTAAGCACAGCAGATCCATGAAAATGGGGGCTGTTACCTGTCCCACCCTGGTCCAGGGTCTGGGATGGAGGAGGCTCTGAGCAGATAGCTCTTAGGGAAATAAGTGAGGCCAGATGAGTGACCTTGGGGACGGGGACCTTGAGTGTGGAGAATAACTCCAGAGCAGGGGCCTATTCCCGGAGTGTGGTTCTGGAAGGTGCTCTGAGGAGGCAGCGTGGCTGGCGACATGGCAGAGCAGAAGGGCCCCTCGGTGGCTGCCGAGGAAGACTACTCACCACGGCAGCACAGACGGCAGGCCCTGAGGTCGCGGCACGGGTGAAGCGCTGGTGATGAGGACCACAGCAGGCGGGACCGCTCACAGGGACCCGAAGGACAAGGGAGGGCCAGCTGCAGGAGGCCTCTGCACCCGACGTGCAGTTGAAGTGTACACCTGAGTGGCAGGCAGAAGCCGTGGCGGGGGACGGGGCCGAGTGTTTGAAAGCTCTCAGCCAAGCTGTGGCAGTGGGATGGGAAAATGGTGGCATCAACACAGGTGGTGGCCAATGACAGGGAACGCAGTGGATGGATGGGAGATGTGCTTTGGAGACAGGCCAATAGGCCCCCAACCCCTGTGCCAGCCCAGCTTCTTGGTGGGTTGTTTGCACCGGTGGTTCCCACCTTGGTCCTGGATTATCCACATATGAATCGCCGTTGGCCACAGAGAGGCTGCAGTGGCTCTGGAATACGTATTTTCACAAGATGCCAGGTGATTCAGATGGGCAGTCAGTCTGTGGCCTTCAAGTCTGTGCCATGTATTTTATCCTGGCCTCACTCACCACCCACTGAAAGGTAAAGGGAGAAAACTCCCGTCCCAAATAAACTGAGATCACAGCCCGGCTCTGCCACTGTTAACTGTTTGGACTCAGGTATATAACCTAAACTTTCATTGCCTGTTCCGCATAGTAAAGTGAGGATAATACTGTAACCTACCTAACTGGGTTGTTGCCGGAATTAAGTGAGTTAATATATAGGAAGCTCATAGAATATTGCTCGAGAGATATAAGGTGATCAATAAATGTTTACCATTGCCAACATCATCATTACCATCACCATCACCTCTCCATCATCATCATCATCACCACCATCACCATCTCCACTATCATTATCATGATCACTGTTACCATCATCACCATCATCACCACCATCCGTCATCAATATCACCAGCACCACCACCATCATCATCATCACCACGACCATCACCATCTCCACTATCATCATGATCTCTGTCACCATCATCATCATCATCGCCATCATCACCACCATCCATCAATATCACCATCATAAATATCACCATCATCACCACCATCCATCAATATCACCATCATCAATATCACCATCATCACCACCATCCATCATCAGTATCACCATCATCAATATCGCCATCATCACCACCATCCATCATCAATATCGCCATCATCACCACCATCCATCATCAATATCACCATCATCAATATCGCCATCATCACCACCATCCATCATCAATATCACCATCATCAATATCACCATCATCAATATCACCATCATCACCACCATCCATCATCAATATCACTACTATCATCACTATCACCGTCACCATCTCCATCATCATCATCACTATCACTATCATCACCACTATCCATCATCAATATCACCATTATCATCACTATCACCATCACTGTCTCCATCATCATCATCACCACTGCCATCATCATCTCCACTATCATCATCATGATCATTGTCACCATCATCATCATCATCATCGCCATCATCACCACCATCCGTCATCAATATCACCATCATCAATATCGCCATCATCACCACCATCCGTCATCAATATCACCATCATCACCACCATCCGTCATCAATATCACCACCATCACCATCTCCATCATCATCATCATGGTTACTGTCATGATCATCGTGTTATTACCATTACCATCACTACCATCATTCTCCATCATCACGCCATCACCATCACCAACATCATCAACCTCACCATCATCACCATCACCACCTTCATCATTATCGCCATCACCACTGCCACCATCACCAATCACTATCATCGTTATTGTACCACCCAGGTGCAGACAGTGTGTCCTGAATTCCAGCCTCTGCAGTCTCTATCCCAGCTGCCATGGTCAGGTCCCCTCAGTCAGGAAACACTCAGGAAGTGAGTTTTCCCATCAGCTGACCGCCCTGCCTAATCCTTTGAACTCTTAGTGGAAAAGGTTCTAAAATCGTGTGTCCATTTCCCTGCCTTATGAAAGACAGTGTATCAATTTACAATGGCTTTTGCGTTGATAATTAGGAGTCTTTGGAGGCCTTGGGGTCATCTTGCTTAATCCTACTGAGACCTTGGGTGGCAGATCAGGGATCCCTTGCTGGGCACTGTGTGGGCCCAAAACTCCCTGCAGGACTGGATGCCCCTCACACCACCTCCGTCCTATGAGCCAGTCCTGAAATTCATCCAGGAGCATTCCTTTCCCTGGCTTCTGCTCTTGATCCCTGAAGAGATGCAACCCTTCCTGAGAAAGTTCCTACATTCCACTGAAGGTCAATTACAACTGTAACCTGAATTGGGGCCCTTTTAGAGAGGGTCAGAGAACTTAGTGCTTAAGCTGGGAGGGTGGAGGGAAGAAGCATGGGGAGGAGGAAGCCAGGGGCAAACCCCTACCAGCCTGTGCATGTGCCAGGGGCTGGCCCAGGTTGTCAGCAGTCACCAGCAGGAGTTTGGCTGCACATGGACCCTAGCCAGAGACCAGGACAATGTTCTGATATCAGCTTTTAATTAAGGAAATTCCTCTAGCGCCATTGAACTTTGTCCTGAAAGTGGAAGGCAGGGGTGCCTTGCTGGTAGGTTACCCCAGTTTGTTCTCTGAGCCTGGCACTGCCTGTTCACCAACGCCAAGGTCCTCTCAGGCTTCTGCTGTGTCAGCATAGACCCTGCCCAGGACCCCTGTTTCCCCAGGTGGGTTTGAAGGGCCTCACCTCTGTTCTCTATCGTCCCCCGCTGTGGAGGGAAAATCAGTGTTATCATGCAAGAGTGGGGCTAGAGTACAGAGACTGGAGAGAGCCTGGGAGTCAGAATTCAAGCCTGGCCTCCTGGATGAACTGGCTGGGTGATGTCATGAGGCTTCTTAACCACTCTGAGCCTCAGTTTCCTCAACTGTGAAATGGGCAGCCTTTCAGTGTCACTGGAGGTTGCAAGGATTGAAGATGGTGTGTGTAAGGTGTGAGGCGTCCCTCCCGGAGCCAGGCCTGTGTGTGCTCTGCAACCTGCCTTCGCCTCCATAGAAAACAGTGTCTCAGTCCATTGGGCTGCTAGAGCAAAATGCCATAAACTGGGCAGCTTTCAAACCAAACCTTATTTCCCACAGTTACGGAAGCAGCAAGTCCAAGACCAAGGTCCTGGTAGACTCGGCGTCTGGTGAGGGCTTTCTGGTTCACAGATAACCATCTTCTCGCTGCATTGTCATGTGGTAGAAGGGGCGAGGGATATCTCTCAGGCCTCTTTTCTAAGAGCATTAATCCAATTTATGAGGATTATTTTCCTTTACACTTTTTATAGTTTATTTTAGGTTCCAAGGTACACTTGCAGGTTTGTTATGTAGGTAAGCCTGTGTCACAGGGGTTTGGTATACAGATAATTTCCTCACCCAGGTACTAAACACAGTAGCCAATAACTATTTTTTTCTGATCCTTTCCCTCCTCCCAACTTCTGCCTTCAAGTAGGCCCCAGGGTCTGTTGTTCCTCTCTTTGTGCCCATGTGTTCTTGTTATTTTACCTCCCATTTACAAGTGAGAACATGTGGTAGTTGGTTTTCTGTTCCTGTGTTAGTTTGCTTAGGATAATGTCCTCCAATTCTATCTATGTTGCTGCAAAGGAGATGATCTTGCTCTTTTTTGTGGCTGCATAGTATTCCACGGTACATATGTACTTTTTTGAGATGGAGTCTCACTCTGCTCCCCAGGCTGGAGTGCAGGCACAATCTCAGCTCAATGCAACCGCCACCTCCCGGGTTCAAACAATTCTCCTGCCTCAGCCTCCAGAGTAGCTGTGATTATAGGCTCCCACCACCACACCTGGCTAATTTTTTGTATATTTAGTAGAAACAGGGTTTCACCATGTTGGCAAAGGTAGTCTCTAACTCTTGACCTCAGGTAATCCACCCGCCTCGGCCTCCCAAAGTGCTGGGATTACAGCCATGAGCCACCGCGCCCAGCCTCACATTTTCTCTATTCAGTCTATGGTTAGGGATGTTTAAGTTGATTCCATGTCATTGCTATTGTGGATAGTGCTGGAATGAACATATGCATGTGTGTGTCTTTATGGTAGAACAATTGATGTTCCTTTGAGTATTCCAATTTATACCCAATAATGGGATCGCTGGGCTGAATCGTAGTTCTGTTTTTAGTTCTTTCAGGAGTCACCACACTGCTTTCCATGACAGCTGAACTAATCTACACTCCTATCATCTGTGGACGTGTCCCCTTTTCTCTATAATCTTACCAGCATCTGCTACTTTTTTGATTTTTTAATAATAGGCATTCTGATTCCTGTGAGATGGTATCTTATCGTGGTTTGATTTGCGTTTCTCTAATGATTAGTGATTTTGAGCATTTTTTCATATGCTTATTGGCCGCATGTCTGTCTGCTTTTGAAAAGTGCTTGTTCATGTCCTTTGCCTATGTTTTAATAGGGTTGTTTGCTTTTAGCTTTTAAATCTGTTTATGTTCCTTCTAGATGCTGCGTATTAGGCCTTTGTCAGAAGCGTGGTTTGTCAATGTTTTCTCCCATTCTGTAGGTTGTCTATTTACACTATTGATAGCTTCCTTTGCTGCGCAGAAGCTTTTTAGTTTAATTAGATCCCATTTGTCAATTTTTGCTTCTGTTCACTTGTTTTTGATGTCTTCATCATGAAAGTTTTGCCAGTTCCTATGTCTAGAGTGGTATTTTCTAGCTTATTTTCCAGAGGTTTTATGATTTTAGATCTTACATTGACTTCTTTAATCCATCTTGAGTTGATTTTTGTAAATAGTATAAGGAAGGAGTCCAGTTTCAATCTTCTACCTATGGCTAGTCCCAGCAGCATTTATTGAACAGAGTCCTTTCCCATTGCTTGTTCTTCTCACCTCTGTCAAAGATTAGATGGTTGTAGGTGTGTGGCAGTTGCATTCATGTGGGCTCCGTCACCGCGACTTCATCTCCCCAAGGCCCCACCTCCTAATACCCTCACCTGGAGGATTAGGATTTCAACATAGGAATCTGGGGGAAGACACATGTGTTCAGACCACAGCAGAAAGGAAGCTTGCTAAAGACGGAAGAGAAATGGAAGACGAAAGGCTGCAGGGCTGGCCAAGAAACCACACATGGGCTCCAGCTGTCTGCATGGACAGCCACCCCCTCGCCCACCCCTCTCAGCCCCAGCCCAACCTCAGCTCTTCCAGAAACAGGCAACCAGCACCTGAACTCACCAAAGCCTTATGCCTGGCCCCTGTTCTGCAAGGAAGCAATGTCTTATTTTGGGGTTTGTTTTTTTTTTTTTTGAGACAGAGTCTTGCTCTGTCGCCCAAGCTGGAGTGCAGTGGCTCAATCTTGGCTGGCTGCAACCTCCACCTCCCAGGTTCAAGCAATTCTCCTGCCTCAGCCTCCCAAGCAGCTAGGACTACAGGCGTATGCCACCACACTCAGCTAATTTTTTATATTTTTAGTGGAGACAGGGTTTCACTATATTGGCCAGGCTGGTCTTGAACTCCTGACCTCATGATACACCCGCCTCCGCCTCCCAAAGTGCTGGGATTACAGGCGTGAGTCACCTTCCTGGCCAGCAGTGTCTTATTTTAAGCCATATTTGTGTTTCTGGTTCAGAAGGGTCTACTGCTGGTTAGAACTCAAGTCCTTGCCCCGGGCAGACCTAAAGGAGTGGCACGCAGGGACGTGGTTAGCATGCTGAGGGTCCACGGAAACTGGGGAAGGAACAATCTGGCAAAGCACCCCACTTAATCCCCAGAGTGCCAGGGCTCTGCTCCCCAGAACCCCTTGCACCTTTGCAGCTGGGCACACCATGGGGTTACACAGATTGGCAAGGCCTCCTGGGTGATCGGGCTATGGTTCCCATTTTAGGTTCAAAGAGACTGAGGCTTTGGAGAGTGAACTGCTGGTCAGCCTGAGGGTTGGCCTGTGCTTGGGGGGGCCACAGCTGCTACCGTGCCATCCAGACAATGGCGTTTCTATGAAGGGAACAGTGGTCCCTGGCTGCCCTAATAAATTACCACAGACAGGGGGGCTTAGAACAGCAGACATTGATGCTCTCACAGTGCAGGAGGACACAGATGTCCAAAACCACAGTGCGGCAGAGCCAGCTCCTTCCAGAAGGAGAGCCTATGCCAAGCCTCACTGCCTCCGCTGGCTCCTGGCAAGCATTGGTACCCCTTGACTTGCAGCTGTGATGCGCTGGTCTCTGCCTGTGTCTTCACGGGGCCTTCTCCCTGGCTGCCTCTAGTGTGTCTCTCCAGCTATTGCATCTGGGACCACTCACTGCAGTGTGACATCATCTTTGTTTTTTGAGACAGAGTCTTGCTCTGTTGCCCAGGCTGGAGTGCAGTGGTGCGATCTCAGCTCACTGCAACCTTTACCTCCCGAGTTCAAGCGATTCTCCTGTCTTAGCCTCCCATGTAACTGGGATTACAGGCATGCGCCACCACGCCTGGCTAATTTTTGTGTTTTTAGTAGAGATGGGGTTTCACCGCGTTGGCCAGGCTGGTCTCGAACGCCTGAGCTCAAGTGATCCACCCGCCTCTGCCTCCCAAAGTGCTGGGATTACAGGCGTGCATGAGCTCATCTTAAATGGACTTCCATAAAGGCCCAATTTACAATAAGGTGGCACTCTGAGCTTCCAGGTCAATGTGAATTTTGTAAAGACACCGTTTAGCCTAGTATACCGGCTAGGTGGTAATCCCTGTGTCCCTGTGAGCTGAGACCTCTGGGGAAGAGAAGAGCTGAAGGGAAGCAGTTTGGAGAGGGAACTGGCACTGTGAGGCAGGGCACTGCCCATGGGACAGGAGGCCATGTGGTTCCAGCGTCTTCAGTGGATGAGCTACTGGTGTGGTCACTCCCTTCATCCCCACAGACTGGGATCCCGTCCAGGAAGCCTGAGAGCCTACCCAGGGCAGGAGCCAGGCTGACCATCACCAGGGCCAGGAGAGGGTTCAGGACTTCCCTACAGGTGTCCACCCAGAGGTGGCAGCATGGGACGGGGCAGGGAGTAATAGGAGAAAGATATACACCATGTCTTAACTCTGAGCCGAGGGCTGGAAGCTGGGGGCTGCAAGCTGGTCCTGTGCACCTGCCAAACAGACCTTCCGAGAAGGCACTGCCAGGCCTTATTCATGATGTGGAAATGGGGCGGTGTCTTGCAGTTGTGTCACTCTGCAAGACATTGACCATTTCCAGGAAGGAAGGAAGGAAGGAAAGGTACCCACCCAGGAAGGAAGGGCAACCCGCTCCCTTGTCCCCATCAGGGTGCCCTGGCAAGTGAGCTGTGCTGTTGGGGAACACGTGGCACCTCATTTGCACAGCCCAGGATGTGCAGGGGATGCTCCCTGGCCAGCTGAGTAGAAAAATAAATTACCTGAGAGGCTGACTCAGGCCGGTCATTTTGCCAGTGAAGCTCTGATAACACTCACTGGGCATGGGCCACGATCAATATGCCTCTATTTTTAACTCCGGGATCAGCAGGGTCATTTTCCAGAGAACGTGGACTGTTTACTCAGCTTCCTCTCGATGCGATGCAGAGAGGTCCTCCTGGCCAGCTCTGTCCCACGCCAAGCCAACCGGCCATACGCAGCCTTCTCTGCCTTCCTGGGGACGGTCTTTAGACTTTCAGGGGTCAGGCTGGCTGAGATGGAGCAAAAGCTCCAGGCTCCCCATCTCCAGCCAACTTAGCTTTCACCTGCCAGTTTCATTTTGCAGGCTCCACACCCACCGGCTCTTGCCTCACTGGGAGGTGCGTGCCGCAGCCCCAGCCCCATCCCAGAGCTTCACCAGGGAAGGATGGAAGTGATAGTGCTCACCCCAGTGGCGGCCACATGTTGAGCTCTGGGCTGCTGCTTCATGCACGTTCCCTGCCTCTGACCCAGCAGGATTCTGCTTCTGTCTGTGCCTCTGTGGTCTCATCTATAAAATGGGCTAATATTGCTGCCTCGGATCATGGTGAGGAGCACATGAAATAACTCATGTTGTGTGCTTGGCTCTGTTTCTGGCCCATGATAAGTACTCAAACGATGTCAGTTGACGCCTTTGTAGTTACGCTTTGCTGAATGCCACAACTCCTCAGGCTGGGAGTCAAGCCCAAAGGCCTCAGTAGCCTGTGCTGTGCCTCTGCTCTGAATCTGTCCACCCCACACTGCCCTGACTCTGAGCCCTCCCTAGGTGCTCCAGAAACACATCTAGTGTATAGAGCGAGGTGTGCCATCACTCAAAAGCACCTCCTGCCCTGTGTTTGTTAATTTGCAGATTAACAACATTTAAAGAGTAGCCCCAACCTCTCCCAGCCCCTTGGAAGGAAGCGAGGCCATCTGTGTCACGGCTCCTTGTCACCAGCACAGACCATGGCTCCCCCTAATGGTTACCTGTGGCAGTTCAGGGATTTCACCCACTCTGACCACTCTCACTCACCAGCCGGCCTGGAAGGAAGTCCCTACCAGACACGTGCCCAGGGACTTTGTTTGGAATAAAAGAGATGCCCTCCTCCCTTTTTTTTTTTTTTTTTTTTTTTTGAGACAGAGTCTCACTCGGTCACTCAGGCTGGAGTGCAGTGGTGGGATCTTGGCTCACTGCAACCTCCGCCTCCCAGGTTGAAGGGATTCTCCTGCCTCAGTCTCCCAAGTAACTGGGATTACAGGGATGCGACACCATGCCCGGCATATTTTTTGTATTTTTAGTAGAGATGGGGTTTCACCATTTTGGCCAGGATGGTCCAGAACTCCTGACCTCATGACCTGCCCACCTTGGCCTCCCAAAGTGCTGGGATTAGAGGTGTGAGCCACTGCGCCCGGCCCTTTTTTTTTTTCATCAGATTTCCTTCCTAACTGCAAACGCTTCTGGTGGTGTAAAACGGGTTGATTTCTTCACACTCACACCATCCTGCATTTCCATACAGTGGCCCCATAAGGTTTTTTTAAAGCAATGGTCAGCAAATGTTTTTCTTAAAGGGTCAGATAGTATCTTCTGCTTTGTGGTCTCTACTGAAACTACCAAACTATGCCATTGTAGCAGGAAAGCCACCGTAGACAATACATTGATGAATGTACTGGTTGTGTTCCAATAAAACTTTATTTACAAAATCAGATGGTGGGCCAGATTTGGGCCTGTGTTTGCCAACTCCTGGCCTAGAGCATCATTTCCAAAACTATAGTTCAAGGTCACTGTTACTCACTGTCCCACAAAAACAGGATTCCACAGTCAGATGAGTTCAGGGAAGACTGGGTACAACAAAGCTCCATGGGTTTTCCCAGACCGTTTAATATGTTAACATCCCACTGTGAGTCCCCAGGAGGGGCGAGAGCATGCGCATGTTCTAATGCATTTGGCTGTGAGCCCTGACTTCTGAGAGGGCCTGGTCACTTTTTTATCTCCCTACATACTTCTGTTAATGTCTCTCTTGAAACACAGCTTAGGAAAGTTCACTAAAGTAATCTAGGTGGCCATACCTAGATGCCCTCTGTGGATCCTGTCGGAGGGGAGGACGGGGGCCGTGGCCTGCCCCAGGGTCACGAGCATCAACAATCCTGTGGCTTCCCCACAAAGAGAAAGCCGAGGCCCTGGGTCCTCCTGGGAGTTGGGAGCACCAAGAACAGAGCCACGTGTCCCTCCCCACCCGCCAGACTCTCACAGCGACCTGCTCAGGAAGACCCCTTGTCCCCAAGGCCAGGGTCAAGTGGTGTGGAGGCTGGGGGCCAGGTGCCTAGGGACCTTTGGGGCCACCGAGTCAGATGCCACAGGGGAAGGGCTGCCTCGCCTGCCTTCCGCCCCCACTGACAGGGTTGCCGGAAAGGACGTGTGCACCCAAGTGGCTCCCAGATTCGTGGCAGTGGATGCCATGCCCCATGGATGTGTGGCTGTCTTAGTCTGTTTTGTGCTGCTCTAACAGGAAACCGCAGGCTGGGTAACTTACAATGAGCAGAAACGTCTTCACCTCACCCATCTGGAGGTGGGAAGTCCAAGATGGACAGATGGCCCCATCTGTGAGGGCCTCTTGTTGTGTCATCCCATGGCGGGAGGCACCACGTGGCGAGAGAGAGAGCAAGAGGACCACTCTCAATAATGACACAAATTCGTGGATGGGGTCCCAGCCCTCATGACCCAGTCACTTCCTGTCAGGCCCTCCTGACACTGTTGCATCAGGAATGAAATTTCAAGCACGTGAGCTTTAGAGGCC